AAAGTAAAGCTTTTTTGTAAATTTAATATTTTTATAATAAATTTCATAAGCTATTTTAAGTGAAAATCAAAAAAAAATTTAGGTTAATTAGTAAAATTTTGAACTAAAAATTAATTAAAATTGGTTAAAATTGCAGGTAAATTTGCCTGCAATTTTAACAAATTTGATTAATTTTTAATTCAAAATTTTACTAATTAACCTAAATTTTTTTTTAATATTTATTTGGAATATATCATATATTTTATTTAAAATATTATTTTTTTTAAAATAATACATTTTAAACCAATTTTATTAAAGTAATATATCAAATATTTAGTATTTTTGATAATACAAGATATTTCTCTTTAACAAAGATTTTTAAAGTAAAGCTTTTTTATAAATTTAATATTTTTATAATAAATTTCATAAGCTATTCTAAGTAAAAATTAAAAAAAAATTTAGGTTAGATAGTAAAATTTTGAACTAAAAATTAATTAAAATTGGTTAAAATTACAGGTAAATTTGCCTGCAATTTTAACCAATTTTAATTAATTTTAGTTCAAAATTTTACTAATTTACCTAAATTTTTTTTTTAATTTTTATTTGGAATATATCATATATTTTATTTTAAAATATAATTTTTTATTAAAATAATACATTTTAAACCAATTTTATTAAAGTAATATATCAAAATTTTAGTATTTTTAATAATACTAGATATTACTCTCTAACAAAATTTTTTAAAGTAAAGCTTTTTTGTAAATTTAATATTTTTATAATAAATTACATAAGCTATTTTAAGTGAAAATCAAAAAAAAACTTTAGATTAATTAGTAAAAATTAATGTTAAAAATTAATTAAAATTGATTAAAATTGCAGGCAAATTTGCCTGCAATTTTATACATTTAAATTACATATTAAAGTTGAATTAATGATTAAAAACTTTAACTTATATTTAAGAATAATATAAAGTAAAATAAAATAAATATTATATGAAAATTTTGTAATTCTAAGATAAATGTATAAACTTTAATATAAAATTTAATTTAAAAATTATAAAAAATTATAAATTATTAAAAATACAAAAATTCTGTTCTAATAAAACTTTTTTAAAATAAAATATTTATTAAAACCAATATTTTTATAATAAAATTTATAATAAATTTTAAGTAAAAATCAAAAAAAATCGATAGGTTAAATAATAAAAATTTATGTTAAAAATTAATTAAAGTTGTTTAAAATTGCAGGCAAATTTGCCTGCAATTTTTTACCATTAAAGGGATATACAAGTGAATTATACAACATTATTAGAAAATAAATGAAAGGATAATTTTATTAACTATAAAAAAAGTGTTTATTAAAAAATTATAATTTTATATTTAATTGTATAATTATCATTACTAATATTTCATATTATTTCCTTCTTTTCTTACTACTCAAAAACTATTGACTTTTAAATAATTTTAATTATCTTATTTATACTTTTTAAATTACTTTAAACTATAGATATAATAAATAATTATTACATAAGAATTAATTACCTTTAATTATCTAATTATTATATACTTATTACTACATATTTCATTACATAATTACTATATCATAATTATGTAAGAATTATTAATACTTTAATTATGATATAATATCTTTTATAATTATCACAATTGCTCCTAATTTTTAGACGTAATATACTATATTACATAATGCTAAATTTATTAATCAACATTACAATCTATAATTATATTTCTATTATAAAATTATTTACTATGATTTTTTGATAGTAAATATTTAGTCTTGCTTTATATATCATACCTTTGATCACATGATTTATTATGTTTTATATTAATTTAGAAAATCTATAAAATTTGTTATATTAAAATTCATTTTAGAAAATGTTAACTGTATTTAACTAATTCAAATCATATAATTTGAGTTAGAATTTAGCTTGAGTTGATAGTTATTTATTACACTATATATAATTTAGTTTAAGACTTTTTTTATATATTCAATTATATAATTTAACAAAATTTCAGTTAAATTTAAAATTTGATATAAAAATTATAACAAAATGATTATATATTACTGGTCAAATCAGTTAAGCTGATTTTAGCAAAAATTATAATAATATTTCAATTAAATAAGAATAATTATTCTAAAAGGATAATAAAAATTATCTCTAAAGAAGGATAACAATTATTTTTAAGAAATAATACAATTATTCTTAAAAAATAAATGATATAATTGTTTTAAAAAATAATAAAATCATTCTAAAAGAAATGATACATCATCATTTTAAAGAATGAATTTCTTTTATTATTTTTCAGAATGATATATTATAATTTAAAGAATAATTTTTTTATATTTTTAAAAAATATATATTATCTTTTTGAAAAAATGATTTTTTTATCATTCTTTCAGAATAATAAGAATTATTCATTTTGAAAGAGTAATTTTTTTTATTTTTTTTTAAGAATAATATATCATTGTTTTCTTTTAAACAAATTTATCATTATTTTTTCCTATAAAAAAGTTGATCTGAATTATTTTTCATGTTTTTTTTTGTGAAAAGCTCATTTTTACAGAATTTATAATATCATATCTTTGATATGGATTTCATAAGAGACTCATTTTCATAAAAATTTTATATAACCTAGGAGAAATAATGGAAATATTTGGGAGAAAATTTTTTATAGGGCTTAAGAAAAGATCAAATCAATTTTTAACTATTATAATGAATCAAATCTAAAATTCTCATTATTTATCATCTCTCTAGTAGTAAATATTTATGTTTATTTTATGCAAAATTATAGAAGTGAATAAAATCCTTTATTAATAAGTTTAACTGGACTATAGAGCTTTTGAAAAAAAAAGTTTAGATATAACTAGACATAATAAATGATTTGATATTATCAGTTGTAAATATTAAAATTTGTTAAATATACAAAGGATATAGCTATTATATTCAAAAAACTAAAAAAAGTATTTAGAATCCTATTAAGAAGGGATTCATACTCCAAAAATGTTGGTGTATTTAAGTTAGAGTGTCTTGATGAAAAAAACAGTTAATAATGTCATATTTTTTATGATTGCAAAATTACAAAAGCATGAATAAAATCCGAATTAACATTATATAATGCATATATTGTAAAAGAAATAAAGTCCGATTTGTATCTTTATTCTTTTTTTATGTAGACGAAATTAAGTGAAATATAACGGTTTAAAGAGAACAAAGAAAAAAAATTGAAAAATTCATATTCTGCCGGACCCTAAACACACTTGCTGATAGTTCCTTCCTGCTATTTCATGCTAATAATACTAAATATTGCTATCTGGAAAACTCACTTCCAATTTCCTATCCTCTATTGTAAAAAAAAAATGCATGGTTAAATATTAGCATTTTTTATGTACCTTTTTTTTGATTTTATCATCAAATATCATTTTTCATTTGCAATTCCCATTATAAAATTTTTTGACTCTCTTTGTAGTAATTGGTTTGTATTACCCGAAATTGGAAATTTTTTTACAGCACGCGTTCAATTACCAAATGGATCTCTCATATGTGTCGATCGTTTGAATTAGATCCAAAAAACATCTTTCAATCAGATTTACACACAGTTGGGCGATAGAAGCAATGTTAACACGTAGAGTAGTGGTAACTGGCTTAGGTTTAGTAACGCCATTAGCAACAGGAGTGAAACTTTCTTGGAAAAAATTAATAAATGGTGAAAGTGGAATAATATCTTTAAAATCAAATCAACAATCACGAATTAATGAAAATAATTCAACGAATTTACCATATAACGAAAAGGAAAAAGGGGTTTTTAATGAGCTGCCTTCAACTATAGCTGGTGTCGTTAAACCTGGTAAATATGAGAATGGTGGGTTTAATTCAAAAGAATGGCTGGATCGTGGGGTAATTATCAGAAAATATTTCAGTAATTAAATAAATAAAATTTAAATTAACTGATCTGTATTTAAATTTTTTAATTTCCTCCCTTTTTTAAAATAAATGATGGAATTCATTCCTTCATACACTGAAAGTATTATTGTTTGATACCAGTTTTTTATTTATTAGGATGAAAGTAGAATGGCATTATTTTCACAATATGCCATTTGTGCAGCAAATCAAGCATTAAATGATGCAGAATGGAAACCGACGTCTGTTCCTGAGAGAAATCGAACAGTACGTACAAATGATTACATACTTTTATTTCAAATTTAATAAAATTTTTAATTTATTTTTTTAGGGAGTTTGTATAGGATCAGGAATTGGTAGCCTTGAAGATGTTATATCAACCACCATGACTTATAACGCTTACGTAAATAATATCATATTTTTCTTTTGTTGTAATAATGGAGAAGATAATATTATTAATATAACTCCTTTCCTCCTTTTGAAAAGGGACCGAGAAAAGTTAGCCCTATGTTTGTACCCAAGATATTAATAAATATGGCAGCAGGACATTTAACCATGAAATATGGATTTCGTGTAAGTTTTTTTTAAGAGGTTTTTTGGGGGGGGGGGTCAAATGAATCTATTAATACGGAATATTAAAATTTCAAGGGACCAAATCATGCAGCTTCGACAGCATGTACAACAGGAGCTCATTCGATAGGAGATGCAAGTCGATTTATACAATTTGGAGATGCGGATGTTATGGTAGCAGGAGGATCAGAAGCATGTATATTACCTTTAGCTATAGCAGGATTTGCAAAGTGCGTAATTAAATCTTTGAGGAGGGATGAATAAGGGTTGAAATCTATGTTTACGGAAATATATATTTATTTACATTATATATGTCAAATAATTTATTATGTTAAGAGCAAAATCTTTAGTAACCAAGTATAATGATCGACCCGAAGAGGCATCAAGACCGTTTGATAAAGATCGTGATGGATTTGTTATAGGAGAGGGAGCCGGAATGATGGTACTCGAAGAATATAATCACGCGATTAATCGAGGAGCAAAGATTTATGCCGAATTGCGTGGATATGGTTTATCCGGTACCTCCATCTCATTCTTTTTATATCAGCAATTCTTTACGATTGATTAAATTCTGTCAACTTAAAATCATATATATATGAAATATTGTATAAGGGGATGCTCATCATATTACGGCCCCTCCTGAAGATGGTATTGGGGCTGAATTAGCAATGCGTAGAGCATTATCTCATGCTAAATTAACACCAGAAGATATTGATTATATTAACGCACATGCAACTTCAACTATACTAGGTAAATCCTTAAAAAAATATAATTATAGTATTCGATTCTAAAAATATGTTTTAACTCGTATATGGAAAAACTATAAAACTATTAAGGTGATATTGCCGAGAATCGAGCTATAAAATCAATATTTCGGGGTAATAAGAAATTAGCAATATCTTCAACTAAGGGATCGATTGGACATTTATTAGGAGCTGCAGGAGCAGTTGAAGCGATCTTTACAATTTTGGCGATCTATAATGTAAGTTTGTGCCACGTTTTTTTTTGGGACAATCATGAAAATCGGAGTGAAAGAGAGTAAGTTCAATAATATTAAAGAGGTTGGTACACGACAGAAGTGAGATAATATGTACGCAATGTGAGGTTAAAATATATTGTTACTAATCAAGAATTTTGGGAATGAATTTATGATATGACGGTGGCACTGATATGTGTGTGAATTTTTGTCAATGTTGGCGTGGTTTGACAAATGTGGAAGAACCTCAAATTGGTATGAAGGCTAAGGTTAGCTTGTCGACGATAGTGATTATAGTGATTTCATTAAGAAAGATTTTCTTTTGTACTGGTGGTGTGATGATAATCAAAATTATTTTTTTTTTTTTGGTCAAATCTTTTATTCTGATCCTCATTCGTATAAGATTTTCAGTTCTGAAACTTGAAAATTCTGAAATTCCAAGATTATATTTCTTAAAAAAAAATTCGAATATTATTTAGAATAATTATTCATAATACTTCCTTAAAGAATTTGGAAAATTAAGTTTTATTTTATTCTTAAAAACATGATTATGAAGATTACTCAAAAAATAATCGCGTGAAATTTATACTTTTGTTTACTAAAAAATCACATGTACTAACCAGGATTTTTTATTATTCTTATCTACCCCATATTTCATTTGAATGTTCAACCTTCCTATCAAATTCCACTTTATCGCCATCTTTTATTTCAAAATTATCCAATCAGAATACTCTTCCGCCAACATTAAATTTACATTCATCGGGTGATCCATCAGAATCCAACGATTTTAATTATGTACCATTAAAATCTCAAAAGGTTGATGGAAATGGTATAAGGGCCGCGTTAACTAATTCTTTTGGATTTGGTGGTACCAATGCTAGCTTGTGCTTCGTTAGATGAGGAAACAAGATTCTTTTCTTTTTTTTTTTGATTTCGGAAATGTGAAAAAAGAAACAATAGATAATTTCGAAAGCTTGTATAATTATGTTTTTGAAATAACGTAAGTTAAATATCTTTTCGCATAATGATACATTGTATTAAAAAAAATAAAAATAAAAATAGCAGTACGATTTGAACCAAAAAAAAATTATTTATTTACAATCATGGAGACGGTTAAAATTTAAGATTTTGACCAAAAAAAAAAAATTTTGATCAAAAAGACCAACCTAAAAAAAATTTGTGAAAAATGAAAAAGGGAAATAAACTAAAACTTTTTTTTTTTTTTTTTTTTTTTTTTTTTACTATAATAATATAAAGAAATAAATATGATGGGTATGATGGGGGGATGTGAAATGAAAAAAAAATGATTTTTTTTTTTTTTTTGTTTTTTAAAAAGGAAAAAAAAAGAGAAAATGAAAAAAATGAAAAAAATAAAACGAAACCAAAACAAAAAAAGAAAATACTAATAAATTCAATTAGTCGCGTTCGAGGAATCATGTAAATTTTTTCTTTAAAAGAATAATTTATCCGTATCAATCTTTTAAACGCGTGTGAAGAGAAGCTTTTGACACTTAATTTAAAAATTGATTTGGACTTTAAAAATAATAAAGATGCGTAAAGATTCATTGAAAACATAATTTACGCGTCATTATACCATTTTTAGGCGCATCTTTTCCCTTGTAATTTTTCTCAAATTCAATTAATTCGATAGGATACTAACAAAATATGTGAAAAAGGATTTTTATAATATATATGTGGAAATCTTACAAAGTTTTATGTCTAAATAAAAAGGGCAAAAAAGGGAAAAGAAGAAAAAAAATGATACAAAATAATTATTTAAGAAAAAAATATACAAATTCTATCCATCCTCGAAACTTTAACCGAACACCAAAAATTTATATATATGTTTATCATATCATATATATAAATATGAAAAAAAAAAATGAAGAAAAAAAAAATGCGGAATTAATTATTTGTTAATGGGGATATATAAATAATATTATATAATATAATGTAATGTAAAAATGTAAGATCAATTGTCCGATGCAAAAAAAAAAAATAATTACAGAGCCATATTTACGATATATTACTTTACTACATATATGAATTTGACATTATTAAAGGATTACTATGATCATGATAGAATTGATTTAGACCGCAAATAATACAATTTCTACAATTCGGTCGGTATTAATTCTTACAACATTCATCCAAAGATAAAAAATTTAATCGAACCATGGGCGACCCTCACCCATAGCCCAACCAGAAATCAAATCTTTAATATTGGCTTCTTCAATATCAAGTTCACCTTGATCACGTTGCCAATCTTCATATGTTTGTCGGACAGGCCATTCTGATGATGACCTTGGATTATAATCCGGCGCAACTAAAGATAATTCCAGCAAGATTAGAAACGGTGTACCTAGCGCGTAAACAAGCGTGAAAATAAACGCAAAGGTTTCGTTAACTTACCGGTGATTAATTCTTCCGAGTGTGCAGACAACCTTCGTTTATGTACAGGCGCCCTAAACGCGGTTGCACGAGCAAGTGGCTGATGATATGGATTTGGATGAATGAATTCATTTGCTGTATCGTCATCTTCATCCTCTTCTCTTTCGTAATTGTTGTAATAAACTGGTAAATTTGCATCATTCTTTTGTATGAATATGCCTATTTTGGAAAGCGCGAGACAAAAAACGTTATTGTTACGTCACGTGATCGATAGATCGAACGTTAATAAAAAACTTACTTTCTACAGTATCCCAAGCTCTTCGGAAAAAGCTTCGGTTAGAATATGATTGAAGCAGAGCTGGCTGCCGTGAATTCAGGTCATTATTTACGGAAGACGATGACGAAGGTCCTAACTGAGAGGCAGAATCTTGTGGTTCATTATTATTTGACTGTCGAGAAGTAACAGCATTGACATAGTTTTGAATGATAGTTCCAAAGGAAGTGGCCATTTATAATAAATATATCGTTATAATAAAAAGATTTCAAAAAAAAAAAAATATTATTTTTTTGATAATATATAAGCCTGTATATATTCTTTTTGTTTGTTTTTTTTTTTTTTTTTTTTTTGTTTTTTTTTGGTCAAAAAGTAGTTGAAGGACGAGAAATAACAAGAACTTTGTGAAGTTGTATTTACAAAGTAATTAATCTTCTGTTAGAACGCGAAAAAATAAAAATATTCTTTTAAATATTTATACAAAAAAGGGAAGAATAATTAATCGGTTTATGTACAATGTATAGATTGTGAGGTAAGGTTAACAAAGAAATAAAAATAAAATCGAAAAGATGAGTAGAGGTGGGGGGAAATTACACCGACGACGAGTTTTCAACCCTTTTTATAATACTGATAATTATAATACTGATAAGGAGGTGTAACAATAATATATATACATATTTTAATTTACGGGGTTAAAGTAAACTAATATAAAAATGTATTAAACTTTAATTAGTAAGAGATTTTTTATTCTGATGGGGCGGGGTTTGGCCAAACGAAGCACAGCATCCTTTAGTTTTGTTATACCTAATATAAAAAAATTTAATCATCCCGAAGTATCCGAAGTAAAATTTATTTACCGCGATACATTTATGTGAAAAAAAAAAAAAAAATTCATGGTGTACCAAAACAGTGAGTAACTTGGGTAACTTGGCATACTAATTTGGACATATACCTTTGAATTAAAATATTTTTTTACTTTACAATCTGAAAATAGAATATTATTTTAGGTCACCGCCGCGATGATTTTTTTTTATTTTTTTTTATTTTTTTTCTTCTTTTATTTTTTCTTTAAAAGATTTACACAAACGTTTATCGGGTCATCGATTCCTTTCCTAATTGATAGATCACATATTTACAACGTTTTTCCCGATTTTTTCATTCTACGAAAAACCGAAGTGTGACAATTGTATCAATTATATCACATCTTTATTCAAATCTTTTAGTAAAAAAAGATTCGCAATTGGTAAAACCAAAAGATAGGAGGTAAGTGGCAAAGAGAATTAATTGAAAAGAATGTTTTCCTAAACAAGAAACATTATATGGTTTTGCCAGCCTAACATAATTTCATTTTTTTTATTGTAAAATGACTTGTTCAAGTCAAGAGAGTTAGTTTCCTTTAATGAATGGATAACGCCAAATGTACTTACGATACGATCATAAGGTTCCCTCCATTTACTATATAGATGCATTATATAATAACATATTTAATGTACTGTAATCTAATCATTGATAATTTATCAAGTAGGTTCGCTTTGACTTTGCATCATTTCTTTACCTTTTGGATGTATATTTTAACTGATTTGAGAAAATAATTAATGTGGTGTTAAAATTATTGGAATTTTTTTGGGGCGAGGAATCAAGTAAAGTTTAATTTGACGACTAACGCTAAGAAGATATTTAGTGTATATATTATATATACGTGTACTGCGGCACAAATCAAGAAATTCACTCGTTTATACTGTATTTTAATTGTTGGGGCGTTGGGGAATCAAAAAGTATTAAGATGTATTATAATATATTTTCATTATGTCATGTAAATTCGATATGTTTAATGAATTATTCCAAAGTGGAAAATTATTTTCTTCTCGAGTGTTCCAGTTATCTAAAATATCTCTCTCATTAAAAATTGAGGCTTTAATATTTTGATTAGATTCCTTTCCTTTTTTTTATATTCTTTTCTTCTTTTGAAAAAAAAATTATTTTTATTTCTTTTTATAATTACTTCCTCTTTTTGATGTTTACAATGGATTCATAAACCACGTTTTAGCATTTACAGTTCAAATGCATATTTAATGTATTCACATGACATTACATACTTACTGTCCAAATCTAATATAAATAATAAGAATGTTCAATTTGATAATTGGTCAAGATGACGGATTAAATAGGAGTACCTTAGATGTTACATTAACTTCAAATTATATACATCTTCTTATAGAAAATGATTACTATGTTTTTAATGGCGTTACCTATTTTTTTTTTCCTTCACAAATCTTATGATTAATACTTTTATTGTTTATGTTTTCTTTGTACGTACTCCGGTTTCGTTTCAAGTTATGACAATTACGAGTAAAAAAGATCTAAAGAGAAATGGGTTAACATAATTCGAACTTTTATCATATATATACATATATAATATTATTAAGGTTTAACAAATAATTAGATCACGCAATAAAAACCGAACACAACCTAACAATGTACCTAACAAGATCTTAAACCTGAATTTATAAATAGAACTTTCGGTTCCCCCGGGAACTCGAGGTACCATTAATTGGTGCAATAGTCACATGACTAGATGTGACAAATATTTCCATTTTGATTATTTTGATTCATCCTATCCGGGATACCACAACATACAACATACATATTCAATTATACAATCAATATTGTCCATCCACAACTTTGACTTTCTAAATTCGCTCAACAAAACTATTTAACAAATAACCGAACAAAAAGAAAAAAATAACATATAATACTAAAAATAAGGAAAATAAAATACCAATCTTTATTCTTTTTATTATCATTATTATCATTATTTTCATCAAATTTCAGATTGTTTACCTTTTTGTACAATTTTGTCTTAGGTGCGCTTTTTAGGTATTGTTTGTTAGAGAATATGTCAAAGGGCGAATTAATGTTGCGATATGCGTTTCGCGTTATCCTTCACTTCTCCTTGTGGAATCCCCGGAACATTTTTTTCACAAAGACAATTTTAAAAAATCTGTAAACGACTAAAACGTTGTTTGTTGTTTTTGAAAGAAACTTTTATGTAATATCAAATCATTCATAAATAAAGATTACGGATATTAAATCGGGAAATTTTTAATGAAATTAATGAAATTATCCGCCGGGAATTATCAAATTTAGTAATTCTTGGTATCTCAAAAAAAAAATTTTTTTAAGCGCGTCATTTATTTTATTTATATTACCTTCAACTTTTTATTTCACGTCAATAACTCGACCTGAATATGACAGCTAATAATCAAAATCCTTTTTATGTCTTGCAACAAACTGCTCCAAGGAATCGATTCGTCCAACAACTACAGCAACAAGCAACACCAAACACGGAATCAACGGTTAAATATCTTCCTCCTTTACAACTTCACCAGCTTTTACAGCAAGAGCCACCACAAACTCACCAAAAGCAACAGCAGCAGCAACTACTACAACAACAAAGGCAGCAACAACAAAGGCAACAGCAACAAAGGCAACCACAAACGCAAACGCAATCACCAACTCAACGACAACAACAAATACCTATTAATATACCTTCGGCGAAACAAGTTTTACTTACTCAAAAACTTCAAGAAAAACAACAAGAATATGATAATTTATTAATACTTAAGAAAACTTCTCAAAATTTATCAAATTATTTTGATCAATTGGCCGATAATATTGAAGAATTAAGTAATGGTTGTGAAGGTAATTTTAATTTCATGGGGAAAGGGTAAAAGATTGATCTTTTCGTGAATCATTTTATCATAATTTCCGTTTGATTTTAGCTGTTGCTACGGTACTTCGTAATTGGCAAACCGTTTTTAGATCCGTATTATTACCAGGTATATTTTCAATTCTTTCAAGATTCATCTCTTTAAATGTCTTCTAAAATTTTTTTTTTTTTTTTTTTTTTTTATTGTTTACAAGAAACTCAAATGAAAGGTTCAGACGTGACCGAACCAACCCTTTCAAATGCTACGACCACCGAAGCTACAGAGCCTCAAATGCCTGTTGTTGTACGTATTCCCATGAAAGACGCTGGTATTGGTGATAAATGAAATTATATCTTGTTTGCCGTATCAAAAGTGATGTACGCTATCTTTGTTTTTTTAAGCATTGTGCTTGTTTGAAACAGTATAAATTGGCTTTAATTTTTGGTCGGATAAATCACATGATTATTTCCTTATGGAAGGTAGGTTACACGATTGGTCTCTGTTAAATAGAATCTTTCGACAAATAGGCACCAAAGTTGTTATCGATCAGGTTTGGTTTGTTCAAACTTTAAAAGTTATTAAAAATCTTAAATCGCCAAGATTCACATTAAAAGTAATGTTTGGAGAAAATTATGCCGAGTTTTTTTAAAAGATTACAATTCATAAATAACGGAAGCAAAGATTACCTAAATCGTTTATTTATGCAATACTTTAAGTGTGATCAACATTGTATGCATATGAAATTTTTTTAATTTTTTAAACATTGAATATACCTTTTTTCTTGCGTGTTATTTTTAAAAAAAAAATAAAGATAAAATGAGTTTTATTTATCCATTACCAACAACCAGTACAATATCTTGGTCGGATTTTCTTTTAGATGAAGATAATTTATATCTAAATAGAATATCTGAAGCAACAGCACAAAGAGGTGTGGTTAGAGCTACACTTAAAGAAGCAAAAAAAACTGAAGGGCCAAAAGACTATACTAAAATTTTGAAGGTAAATAAAATGTATATTCAAAACCTTCCCTTTTTATTTTAAATTCATTTATGATTATTTGAAATATGTATTTTTTTTTTTACATTAATTTGAAATGTTGAAAGACGATTGATGATTATTTACCATATTTATTCGGTATAATCGATTGCCTTGAAGGTGGTCAACTGAAATTGAAAAAGGAGATAGGTATGTAATAAAGCTTCTTTTATTCCTTTTAGATTATGAAATATCGCGTATTTGAAGTTCATAATTTTTTTTTTTTTTTTGATTAGAGACTTCGTGGAGTTGTACATTAAGTGATTCAGTATTGAAAAAGAAACCTCACGTGTTATGCAAAGGAATCTATTATGAATTAATTTTTGTTTTATTAACTTATGGATATGCTTATGCTGATTGGGCTACAAGTATTATAGAAAATGATAAAAATGATAAAAATGATTTAAGATTAAGACAGGTGATTACGGATTTTCTGGATTTTTCATGTTTTCATTTCATATCGTCTTTTAAATTTTCTTGAACTTTAGGCAGCTGATCTATTATATAAAGCGGGAGGAATATTTGCATATATTGGTGAACAAGTTTGTCCAAAATGGGATAAAAAATCAGTGTCAAAACCATCTGATGTGTTAATGGAAATACCTACATCCATGTCAAAGTAACTTACAATTTAAATCTCTCTATTTCCTTTATTGAAAATTTGATCTGCCAGGTACTCAAACCTTCTTTTTTCAAAAAATAGGATCGCACTTGCTGATGCAAATTCAATTGCAATACGTAAAGCATTAATGCAACAAACCTCTTCATCGTTGCTTGCAAAACTGGCATTTGGAGTATCAGGACACTATGAAATGGCGAATGGATTAATAAAAAGTTTAAAAGATCCTTCAAAAGTCTGTAGCGATTTTAGAAAATATATTTCAAATGGTACTTTATTTCATCAAGTATGTTTACATCTTTGGGTGGTTAGCGCTATCAAAATTCAGAGCGGTTCTTATATGCCTATCGCTGTGAGTTTTTAATCTAGTTAAAATTAAACATATAAAATCTCTCTCTCTCTCTCTTGTAGGCATTAGGAAAGAAATTTCTTGCTCAAGATGCTTATGAACATCAGTAAGTTCAATTATTATTATAATAAATTCTTTTTATATATATATTAATAAAATATTATAGGCAATATGGAAAAGCCGTAGGATTCATTACAGAAGCAAAAGATGCCTTTCATCTTTTAACAAGATCAAAATTGATAACCATTTCATTACATGCTACTCAAGAATATGAAGAAGTTAAAAATCTGCACACGATTTATGTTAATTACAATAATAGAGTAAGTAAAATAATATTTTTTAATACTTTCTTATTTTTTTTTATTTAAATAAAATAAAGGTTCATTCTTTTATACAATTTACATTGCATGAATTTGCTTTACAGGTGGCATATGAAGAGGTTCCAACTAAAGCCGATTTACAAGCTTTAATTCCTTGTGGTAGGGTATTACAAGAACTTACAAAATATGATCCACCTTTACCTTCTTTCAGTCCTGTTATTAAAAAGATTACCTCTAGGGACATATTAGACGGTCAATATTACTAATCCATATTCTTTATAAAATCTTATTTATTTCATTTTAACAACCATAATTTAATAAAAATTATTCCAATTAATAAAATTAATAAATTAATATTTTTTAATCCTGAATTATTATTAACCTAATCAATTATAAACCCAAAAATTTTGTTACTTCCTTGTGTTCCACAGCTTCTTGAAAATCTTTAAAAATCTAACAAATTTTTAACGGAAATTTTTAATCAGTGCAAGTTTAAATAGATTATTTGAATTTCGATTAAAAGAAAAAAACTTACTCCTTTGAATTCACCGTCAACAAAGATTTGTGGTAATTCTTTTTCGCCTCGATTTTTTCTTTTCATATATTTTAATTCGTCTTCATCAGCTGCTATATCAACAAATTCAAAACCAATTTTATTTTGTTTAAGTATTTGTTCAATCCATGATTGGTTTGACTTTACCTAAAATATAATAAATAAAATAATAGTTAGTAATCAAGAGGAGAGGGTTGTTATGATGATATTTGAATTATAAATTAAATTTACGTACAAAGATATTTCCTGCTACGCTTGAACCATAGATTTTAACTCGAACTTTTGTTTCCTCTGTCATTATTAAAAATCACAAAGGTAGTTTTTTTTTTTAACCAAAAATGTTTTTAGACCAAATGAATTACTAATTCTAGAATGAACCAAGTACAGCATCATAGGACGACTTTCATATTATTGGGCGATAAGGTTACACAGAATTTCTTTGTAATTATTTATATTTTAAAACTAATTAATGTTTATAAGGTTTATATTTTGTTATATTAAAAAGTAAAAAGTAAAATTTATTATTTGATATAATATATATAATAAAAAAATTTAAAAAAAAATGTAAAAAAAAATTTTTTATTATTTTATTGTTGTTGAAATTTCCATAATGCCTCATGTCACATAGTTTACTGGTTCATTTTTATTATCATCATCATCACAAGGAATATCATTTTCTGGTTCAACCTGTACTTTTCATTTTTTGTCTAAGTAAAGATGATTCCTATAATTATTTTTAAAATTTTTAACTAGTTGCAACTTAAGTTGCAACTATTTATGAATTTTTATATTAAAATAAATTTACAAGAAGTTGCAACTTACCAAGTTGCAACTTCTTAATTATAGTGCCTATCTTTATGTCTAAGCTAAAGATGGGAACTGTAATTAATATGTTGCAACTTTTAATGTTACAACTTACGTTGCAATTAGTTTTAACCTATATATGTTGCAACTAATTTTAGCTTATGTTGCAATATTTTGTAAATTGAAATCAATTGCTGTACTATCTTTAATCTAAGCTTTGTAAGGATTCCAATAAGGATTTAACATATTCATCAACATCTTTATGTAAGAATGAAAGACAATATAAGCATTTAAATCCATTAGTGCTATAGCAGGACTTATGATATATGTGATCACAAGCCAGAACTTTGATAGGATCATCTATATTAATAATTAAAAAAAACAAACAATTAGTTGCATCGCAATATCGAAATTGATCTGGTTTACTTATAGTACTAAAACCCAAAGGTAGATGGCATAGTTATGCTTTTGGTATTTTCATTGCAGCTAATAAAACTTCTACATCTTTCTGCTTTGGAGATGGATTTATCTGTAATGGAAATAGTATTAGTACTCTATGAATAAATAAACGCGTATACATATCTGAAAAAGATTGCAATAAAAACAAGCGAATTTTTTTGTCAAAAATGTTATATCTCATGCAGAATACTTATATGCCACCCATGTAGATGTATGAGCAAAGTTTTCTCTAAATCCATTATCATTTGAACGTAAATAATTAATGCAACAGCCATATTTGATGATCTGTTGTGCTTCTGTATGTTTCTGCATACTTCTACGTAGAAAACTGTAAAATATTTCCACAGTTACATCTGAAAACTTTGAAAGTTCAGCCTTAATAGTCTTTAAGATCAAATGCTCAGTTAATTCCCAATAAAAGATATCAGAAAGAAAAATTAACTGTGCTTTAGTATAATTTCGGCGATAAAATCTAAGAAATATTGTCCAAACTCGAAAACAAGCTTCTAAATAGGCATTAAAATCACCTGATCAGAAAAACACTGCATATACATTCAATACAAGCAAAATCATATTATCAAGTAAATCTCTAAATGCAAAATATTCAGGATCTTTGCACAAATGTCTGAATTTCATTTCAACGGTCATAGAAATTTCTTGCTAAGCACATTGAGCAATTTTACGAGAAGATTGATACACCATAGTTTGGGTTTTTGTGTAAGAGATTTTTTCCTCCAAATATATATTTATACATAGCTGAAAAAAAAGGCTGGTACTGAAGGAAAACTAATTCTCAGCTATTTAGCGAAATGTGTAGAGGACCTATCATGGAAAGAAAAGATAGAATATTATCAGTAATATTTGGTGAATTATAATGACATAAGTAGTGCGAAATAGCAGTTCTCAGATAAATCTGTCTAGGCCAATCTGCGATGATGGGAATGATATATTCTTGTTGTATATACCATTATATAGACAGAACATTCACCACAGCATTAATAGCTTTGATATATGCATCTAAAGAATAGAGGTTATTTTCCTGTAAATCTATTAGAATGACATCCTTCATTGAATGAAAGTTTCGTTTCTCCTTCAACCTAATATCATAAGTATGAACAGTTAGTTTATCTAATCGTGTTTCATCAGTAACCAAATGAAATTCCTAACGTCGATTATGCGAAAGGCCATAAAGTTTTATAAACTTAGTTTCAATATTACTTTTAATCAATTCAGCATCTACCAGTATAGGATTATGTGCATTAATCTTTGAAATTGCATGCTGTGTCATAATTGGATTCATTAATATTATCACCAGATGCATAGCAGTTGATGTAGTGATCATATTTGGCATCCATTTCATATGAATGCTGTGGTAGTCATTGATATTTAATACTATTGCATTCTCAATACATTCAGCAAGTATAGAATTAATGGTATTGGCATGTTCATCCGCTATTGATGTCTTACATTGAGTGATTGTGCAAGACGTTGTGGTGATACCTAAATCAGCAAGAGTATCTATAGAAGTGTTAGAAAAACCGGTAAAGTCTAAATACATTGATAGATCTCTTTTTGCATTATTTACGAATTTGTTACAGATTCCACAAAGAAAATAACAAATAAACAATAGCTGTTTTTTCACTCATGTCTGTGAATCCTTATTTTTCGATGATGGGTTAGATGACAAATACATTTCTTTGAAAAATACTTTAACCTTATGTCTTCTTTCTCCATGATTTCTTTAAATTCATCAAATAAGTATACTATAGATTTTTTTTCTCTATTTTTGCGAATATATAAAACATTTGTTAATACTTCTATTGCTTCAAAAAGGATAAATTGTTAGTACTTTTGTTTTCATTAATTTCGTCAGTTTCATGTTGTTCTATTTGGGAATTTTTAAATTCAGTTTCGGTATGTTGTTAGAATTCAGCTGTACACCTTGTCACAATTCCATTATAACAATTTAAGCAAATTGAATTGCCTACTTGAATATAAATAGGTAAAGTTTTATTAGCTTAACCTTTGGAAACAACAATTTTTTCTTGCATATAGCGATCACACAAGGTCACTTATTAGTAGTAATTGGTGGTATCTTTGTCTTCTAAATAAAGTATATGAGGTTTAAGATCTTTTCAAGATTCTTTTGCACAATGAATATTGAAGCTCATCTAAAGCTATAAATGATAATTGTGGTGATTGTTATTAGTGAAACGTTGCATTCTAAGAAAAGTACTTTAAACTGTATAAATGCAATTGAAATCGATCGATTAATCACATGATAATCCTTCTATGAAGTACAGCATAGGGAAAGTCTATATTTGGTGATTATCATTACACAATAATTTATATGTATTTTACAATAAGGTTCAATTAAAAAATGATTGTCTACATGATGATTCATAAAAATTACTAAATAATCAATAACGAAATTTTGCAAAGTTATTCATTAAAGTTGTTTCTTTTATTTGAGCTAATAAGATCCAATGAGATCCAATGTTTCAAAGAATTTTATAAGAAGAGTTTTCTTACTTTTAGCAATTAGCTGAAATTGTGGTTATCATTGGTCAAATCTCAAATAAAAAAAAGAAAATTATTTAAAACAATTGTTTTAAAAGCACATTTACAAAACACAACATTTAATTTTTTATTGACGCAAATGAATTTGTTATTTTATTACATATTACCAAGAATTAACATTGTTGAATGCATTTAAAAATTCTATATGTATTTCTTGACTTCTATTTGTTTCTATTTCTTCCACTGCTTCATTTTCTTCTACTGGAACTTCTTCATCCTTTTCTTCTGAAGTAAGAATATTTGGACCCCTTTCTAATCATTCTAAAAAAGAGTTCATATTACTATAAATTTCACGTTTATAATATTCTTCACAATGGCGGCAACCATACTCTATCACTTGATAACATCTAAAGTGATAACCATATCCACAGATCAATACTTCACTATCATCAAGTTTTTTTGTGATAATGATCACAAGTATCTGATGACGGAGGCATATTAGTGCTATAACCTATTGGAAGACATCTTGGATCAACAGTTTCTCCCAAGATAAATAATTCATATTGTGATGTCTTCTTTTTTCTTGATTTATTAATTGGTTTACTTTTTTCATGATTATTAAAAACTTTTTGGAAATAATCTAACAAAAATAACGATATTTTTTCTATTAGTAGGTTTAATGATGATGGCTTGTAGGGATATGCTTTTGTTTTTTCAAAGGTATCTTTAAATTCACAATGATTTGTATGTCTATATAGTGAATCATATGACTGTATGAAAATCAATGATATTATAAGTAAAAATTGGGAAGTTAAGACAAAATACCAATCACATAAGCTTGTCTAATAATATTATCAATACTGCTATTTATGGATATATGGGTTCGTATTTTACTATGCATATTTTCAACATAATAATCATTGAAATTTACTAAAAATAATTTGATAGCTTCTGCAAAAAGATAGTTATATCTTACAAATAAAAAACATCGGATAGAAAGGCCAATGATGCTTTATTATAATTGTGTCATTTCCATTGAAAAGCAAATGTTCATATCTGAAAAATGGTTTCTATGTATTTATCAAATGAGCCAGATCAGAAAGAATAGCATAAATATCTAAGATTGCTGGTATTACATTGTCTAACAAATCAACAAGCATACAATATTTAATATCTTTGCAAGTATGTTCAAATTTCATTATAATTATATCTTTAATTTACACTATTCATTATAAGCTAAGTTAAGAAGTAAGTTAATACGTTATGGCTTTGGTTTTTTTGCTAGTATCTTCCTTTTGCCAAATACAAAATAAAATAACTTTTGAAAAAATGTATAATATATAATTAATACATGTTCTCTACTATTTAGAGAAATATAAAGAGACCCTAGAATTGGAACAAATAAATTAATTCTAGCTGGTATAGAATATTGAGAAACTGTTTTATGTAAAATTATTATTACTTTATGAATGAATAATTGTCCAGGCCAATCTGCTACTAATAGTGCAATTTTATTATATAAATAACCAGTATCTTTATCAATATTTAGAATCATTTCCAATGCTTTAATATAATTATTTATAAAATATAAATTCTTCTCTTGAAGTCCAATTAAACAAATTCCTTTTATTGAACATTCCTCTTTCCGTTCTGCAATTGCATTTTTATAACAATATATCATAAGCAATTCAATTTAATTAAAGGAACTAATATCCAATTGGCAGTAAGTAAGCCATTACTTTTAACGATTGGTATATGTAATATCAAATATTTCATGATATTTATATATTAATCGAAAACAAATATTACTTGCATCAATATTTATTGGATTATGAATTGATTTATTATTAAAAATAATAAGTATTGATACATAAGCTGAAACTTGTTTAAAAATACAAGTAATCATGTATTTAGCGATAGATAAAGTTGTAGTATTTGGTTTTTTTTTTCATGTATATCATGGTAATCATCCAAATTGGAAATATATAAATAATCATTCTAAAAAAAAATTTTTTAGTTAATAATAAATTTTTTTAAAAATTTACGATTTTATTTATATTTTTTTATTTACTTGTTCAGAAAGAAATTTTCTGATTTTTAGTAAATATTCATTTATAAGTTTTTGCTTGAAATTATTAACTGTTATATAACAAGCAGCAAATCTAATACTATTTAGTGTATCAATTGCAGTTTGTATTACTCCTAATGCTAATAAGTACAATCCAACTTTTAATTTAAAGTCATTATAGTGCTACCATGTATAGACGATGCATGAGATGTGATGTCTACCTTTTTCACCAATCAATTACAATTTTATTATGCAATATGCTGAAAAAAAGCTTAGAGATGAAGTTTTAAAAAGTTTACCAGATAAATATTGTATATCACAAAAACGTATTTATCAGATCTGGAGAGGTGAAAAAAAAAGGGTTATATAAAATCAACCAATTCATATATCAAAGCTTCGCTTTCTAATATAAATGTTGTGAGCTGACGGATTAAGTCAGAAATCCAAAACCAAGATGTTTCTCCATTTGTAGATTGAAAAAACAAATACGTGATGGTAAGATAGAGCTTAGCAAATCTATTAATTTAGTTTTAAAAGAAAGTGAAAGGTGAAAAAGACTGGAGGAAAGAAATCGAAGTCTGTTCAGATTTCTGAATCATCTAGTATTCAGATTCAGCCAATCCAGACTTCAAAAAAAGATACAAATAATATAAATTTGGATGCATTCTACAAGAAGATGGTCGAAATAGTACAAAAATTATAGATGTAAAAAAGAAGCGTTATCCTGAAAATAACTTGCTTATTCCTTAAGAAGACTTTCACAAAACTCATTAATTTTTGCATTGAATTTAAAAGTATTGGAAAGCTTCTTCTCAAGTTCTTTTATACAAATTACTATATTTTATAGCTTATGCGTTTTTTATGTGTCATTCTCACTTAAGTCCTACAAGTTTTGCGAAATACAGTCTAGGGTCGAAGAAACATCACATTTGGAAGCAATGTTCGCATAATTTATCTCGAGCTTGTTCTTGACCTTATGCATGGTAACTGAGATGATTAAATCCTTTTCATTATGGAGGATCTTTAACTTATCTTTATCCCAATCAATTGCACATTTATATTTCTTAAGAAGAGGATTCGAGAATATCAGCATTGGCTTAAAGTATTTTACAACTATATATAGTAAATTCTGAAGCTAAGGTTATGTGGATGACTCCAATGGATTCAACTGGTATAGTAGCAACATCACTAAGATTATGCTTTATGGATTTATCAATAACAGCCCCTATACGTAAGACAATATTCTCTGTTATGATAGCAATTTCAAAGCATGAGTTCATTGTCATGGCCAGGATTTTTAGACGTCTAATCTTACACTTTATAGATGTAATGCTTGTAGTTGATTCTTTCTTTTGAATAAAATCTATTTCTATAGTATCATCTAAAACATCTTCACTATCTGGTAGCTCTGGTTTCTTTTCATCTGAATTTTTAGCCTGCTAAATTATGTATGAGAGAAAATTCTCAAGTTCACTCTGAATAATTTTGCAGATAGTTTCTTCTAAAGATACTCATTTACCTTGGTTATTTTTTTCTGATAGTACAATATGAGTGGTGGGTGAATTATTATTCTGTTTTATATTATGAGGCTTGGATTAGTTAAAAACATTAGAGCATGAGGACTCTTATTCTTCTGTTTACTCTGCTCAGTGCACTTCACTTTTTTTTCCATGACTTATAAGAACACTCATATCACAATTTTTAGAGTTTGATTCAACTGAAGAACTATCAGAATTAAAACCATCGCCCTCAAGACTCTAATATGTTATCATCAGAAAAATCAGAATTTGGATGTTCATCTATAACCATATGAACTCAACTACTCTTGGATTTGGAATCTTTGGTAAGTTTAGCTAAAAGGACTTCGATTTATTCTAATCTTTTTTAATATTAGAGGTTGAGGATTCCAAACATTGACGCTGAGATGATTTGGCATCTCTAGCATCTTTTTGTTAAGTTTGGCTAAATAAGTTTCGATTTATCCTAATTGTTCTTTCACCTTCCCATCTGAAAGTTCTGAATATTGATGTTAAGATAGTTCAATACATTTTCCAGAAAGTTCAACTAAGTGAATTTCGATAACACCCAATCTTTTTATTAGTTCATTAGTAATTTATCTAAAAATGTAGAATCTTTTGGTGCACCACTTGACAGCCCTAAACGCTTTACAAGAATATACAGTTTATCTAAGATATCATTATTTTAGATATTCCCTTGTGGATGTACCTGAGATAGTTGTACTATTTGTATTTCTAAAGAAGCTATTTTGGAATTTAACTTTTCAATTTCAGCTGAAGTAACTCCCTGAGAACTGGCTTGATATGGGAGTTAGATTTGAATACTTGTTTGTCCTCAGCTTCTAGCTATTTATTTCCTAATTCTGTAAAAAAAAGCGTCTAAATCACCAGGATTTGCAATCCTAATCCTAATTTCTAAATTATCAGGTAAATGGTCATAAAAATATGATAATACATCAGCAAATAATATGCTATACGCAAATGGTTTAATTTTTTTCTCATAAATATCTGGTGTATTATGTAAGGAAACTTTTCACTTAGAAGTACTTTAAAGGTTGCCTGATTGGTACCAATCATTACCTCTGATATCTTCCTTGCAACCAATTTAAGAATTCAGCTTCTGTAGCAATATTTGCATTAGTATTATATGGATTCTGTACAGAAACAGAATGAAATCTGCCAGATATCTTACTTTTCATGAGATTGTTTCTTGCTATCGTATTAAAACCAGCCACTGCTAAGGAGCAAGCTGTTTTATTTGCATTCCTAAGTTTGATATAATATGTATCTGATAGTTCTTATCCATCATAGTCTAAAATATTAGCAAGATGTGTTGTTACTGATTGTATAGCATATTCTATAGCAGCCATGTTTTTTGGTGGATTATTCTGAAGCACTAAAATTTGTTCCTGTAAATTTAAAATATTCTGGTCTTTTTGCCTAACCTCTAGCTGAAATACAAACTTTTCATATAACAATTTGCCAATGCGGGTTTGTTTTCCTGCTATAATAACTATCATCCTATTTATCTAGTTTTAGGCATTAATTTGCAACTGTCGGATATTTTGCTGAAGACAGTTAGTATTTCGCTGATATAATAGCTATTTAGCAAATTTTTCTCATAATAATTCTTGAATATGCCTATTTTTATCCTGATATGAAAAACACTAATGACAGGATTCTTGTCTCTCATTATTATCCCTTAAATCGTAGGGTTTTGCAGGCAAATTTGCCTGCTTATTTAATATAAATTCTCTTCTGATTTACTTTTATAAATAATTAATATTTTTTAAAAAATTTTTTTTTAAATTAATTTTATAAATATATAATAAATTATAGTAAGTTTTATCTTTTAATTATATA